TTAGAGCGAAAATCAGTTACGGGAATGACCCTGCCTAGAGATCAAAACAGTTACGGGAAATGATCGAGCCAAGACCTAGTTGACGGAAGAAAAAAAGCCATTAAGCATGACGAGATTTTAAGCACGAGGTGGCCCGAATCACGACGTGGTGCGAAGCACGAGGTGGCGTGATTTTTCAAACTTGATATTTTTACAAATATAAAAATTTGCGGAAGCACGACACAGCTGCTCGGAATTGACGTGCTTGGGATCAACGAAGCACGACAAATCCCGTAAGCACGAGGTGTCGCGATCTTGTGTGACGAGTCATTGGAAGCACGACAAATCCACAAGCGCGACAAATCCGCAAGCACGACAAGTCAGAAGCACGACAAAACCGTAAGCATGTGGTGTCGCAATCTTGTGTGACGAGTCAACGGAAGCACGATAAATCCGTAAGCATGACAAATCCACAAGCACGACAAACCCGTAAGCACGAGGTGTCGCAACCGTACGCGACGAGTCATCAACAAGTACGACAAATCCCGGAAGCTGCTGCACGAAAATTCCCTATAAATAGGACCTAAGTAGCTCCCATTTTATGCATAAAAACCATTTCAAACCTCTGACAAAATCAGTCTAGAAAATCCGAATCTTTGTCCGTGATCGTGATCCAGCTAGGCCGTTGTCTTGAGCCATCGAGTAGGAGCAGGAATAGCCAAAAGTCTAGCCTAAGTTCTGTCCGTTTTCGTGATGGAAGTAGTTCGTGGAACCAAAGAACCAGATCCGGTCCAGAGCCTAAGTCCGAATCTAAGCATTAACCGTTCAGAATAAGGTGAGTCTTGGTGATGTTTGTCGTGTGCTAGATGAGTAGGGCACACATTGCTTGTTTATTGTTATGCGTTATAGTCGTAGAGGTTCGTGCTAGAACTCTATGAATTTGGTTAATTGTTTCTTTGATTGTTTGTGCGTGATTGTTTGATTGTGTGGTTGCATGCTGCATGATTCATGGGATGATTATGTTTGTATTTACCGCTAACCTTTGTGGATGCAGGATTTCAAGAGGAGGCTGATCCGCATGTGATCTGTGTAGATACATGCGGGTCACAGGTAAATATTTATGTTGTGTGTGAGGTTAGGCGTTACAAGTGATCAAGATGATCATGTAACGTTCTAACAATTGTAGAGAGTAGTTGACACTTCCAGATATCGCTAGTCACGGAGGAACAGGATTGCAGCCTAGGGCCGTGACTACCGATTGTAATACCCGGAGGAATGGGATTGCAGCCTAGGGCCGGTGTATTACAGAGTCGGATCACTGGTCTTTTAGCCTTTGTGGTTAGGACCGTGTGAGGTAAAAGGGACAATGGAAGGAAGTTGTCAATTCGCGGTTTAGGTTTGGTAATGCTATGTTTGATTTATCTATTCCGCATGTGCATTCTCTGGTTGTTTTGTGTAATTGCTTGTTGATTATTAATTTGGGTTTGGGTTGGGAAATATATTTATTGTCTGTTAGAGGGAGCCTTGGCTCACTGAGTAATTAGTACTCATGACTCCAATTTGTTTTGCAGATAAGCCTTTAGAGGGAACCACTAGTAGGCGTGCGGAATGATAGGACCACCGGAAGTAGGTTTTTATATGTCTTTTGTAAAGTTATGTTTGTGATATGTTTTTACGACTCTTTTGGGCTCTAGGCCTTTGCCTAACTTAAACCTTGTAAAGTTGTTGCAAATGTATAAAAGTATGTTTTATGAAATTGTGATTGTTGATCTGATATTAGTCTTGTCCAGATTAACACAACTCGAGATCATGGAACGGGTTGCAAATCCTTATGCCATGGTCAAGAGGTAAAGGTACCTTAGAGAGGTTGGTTCAGGGAACTAGATTGGTTCTAGTGACTTCTATCAGCTGGTCAACGGGTATCTACTGTGGCGTCCTGGTCAGCGATGATCTGAGGTGTTACAAAAG